GGATCAATAGTACTCTTGCCCCTCAGCACTTCGGTTTGCATGTGTGATTTGGTCCCATACCTAACCATAACCCGCTTAGAGCCTATTTTAAGACGGTCAAACTTACATGACTTACTGATGGTTGCTGTATTTTTGAAAATGATTACAACTGCATTTTCAGCACTTGTTTATTACTAAAAATGAAGACCCCTCCAAGAGCCACCACCGAAGTTGACAGACAACAACTTCTGGTCGACCTTCATTGTGCCACTGTTTGGCAAAACATGGAGAACCATAGGTTTAGTTTCTTATCAAGTGTTCCACCCCTAAATTAAATATACATGAATATACCTGTACATGAGTGTTAGAAACTTTCCCGTAATGATGCGCTCAATAATGTTTCCTTTCAATCAACCACATTGCGTTCACCATTTAATGGGAAAATTGGGTAATGACTGTCCACAAGACTACTTCACTCCACGATAAACCATAATAAATACACATTCTCAGTTTGAATGTTCTATATAGGCAGCATGGGCTCCTAGAAAGTACAACTTTCTGTGCCTTCGAAATTCGAACTACCAACCAACCAAAGATCACATTAGGATAAAAGATTCGACTAGACCGCCTGTATATGATCCGAAGGGTACTCAGTTTTGATCAGTTTTATTTAGTTCAATCATTCTTCAGCTAAACAGGGTGTGAGACTACGCGGATAACAAAATGGCGGGGTAGAGGCAATTCAGACAACGGAGCAACCGTATTACGAGCAAGCATTGGCCGCAAGTTCCTCTGTGGATCGGGGTTGACGATAAAGCTGCAAGGTCCAGCGATAAAATATTCCAATGACGCAGTTCGCAAGAGTTACAGAGCTTCAATTTGTGCAGCTCCCGTTTACCTTTTCCCAAATAATGCATTCAATTTGATTCTTTTATTACATATAATCCTCCGGGTCTCAGTTTTGATAACTCTGTACTAAAATAAAGATAAGTTCTCGAATATCAACCAATTCGTTTTGATTGATGCCATTGATATTAAAACAATAAGCTATGGAGAAGGGAGAGGTACATTCTCTAGGTTCTTTTCATTTACTCATAAGCAGAACCTTTTAGGATTTCCGTTAGACATTATCCTGAATCAATAGTTTGAGTTGTAAGCACAATTAAGCAGTTAGTTTGTCTGACATTTTCAAATATATCACGTGGTTCCTGCAAGCAAACTCTTTTCCGTAATCACCGTAAACTTATACGTATCCATTGAAATATTTATTTCCCGAGATAAAACTGAAGAGAGCACAAAATCGCTAGGTTTCACGAGTTACACGTATACGTATATATCGTACCTGTTGCAAACTGGTATACACATTTAAATCAATACTGACTTATGACAACCGTTTTCCTCCACGAATTACGAAGCAAAAATAATGTTTCTCTTAAAAACCAATATCATGTACGTATTTGAGTTTTTGAAGGGTTTGAGTATCCTGATGTTTGAAATTATCTTCAACTTTTGTCTTCATCGCCAAACTTTTTTTGTGCAAATTCAAATATGCTCTAAGGTTAGCACACCGAACTAATCTCATTCCAATACAGTGTTATAAAATCAATTCATTTGAATAAATCAAGTAACACAGTATGAGCAGAATTGGTATTGACCATCAAATTCGCGTGCTCTCAATCATCTGTCTACGCACATTAAATAGGTCAAATTTTATCATAAGAATACCACATATGGGCATTTACACAATTACATGGGGTCAAGCAGAATGCACTGGATGGTTGAGTCATTACCAAAGTCATTTGAGTATGGGTAAAAGAGGAGGAGGGGAATGTTAGCATAGAAACAGTTACGTAATGGAAAACGATTAGCCGAGGTGGAAAGAGAGTTGGACATGGTTACGTAATATGAAAAAGTTACAACCAGAAATGAATTCGAATAGAGATAGAAAGTCAAAGAGAGTTATGTAATAAGAAAATGAGAAGGAGACATTGCATCGACAAACGCAAAGCTTCCCGCTCAAAGTTCGAAACCCAAGGATGCTTAGGTTTGCTGAAGCGGTTGTCATCAGCCGTTTAAAGCCCTGACCTATGCGTGCAAAAGGCCTTTTGTTATATAGTTGTTATAACCATGATAATTCTACTCCCCTTTCCTTCCCATCATCTCAACCGTACTCTTCGTTGACATCATCGTTGACAGTTCACCCTTCTCATTTTCCTATTATGGAACTCTCTTTGATCTACCTAATTGACCGATTTTTACTCGGTTAACTTTCTACCTCTATTCGAATTCATTTCTGGTTGTATCTTTTTCGTATTACGTAACTATATTCAACTCTCTTTCCACCCCGGCTAATCGTTTTCCATTACGTAACTGTTTCTATGCTAACATTCCCCTCCTCCTCTTTTACCCATACTCAAATGACCTTGGTAATGACTCAACCACCCAGTGCTTTCTGCTTGACCCCATGTAATTGTGTAAATGAGATGTTTTGCGATTCATGACCCTGGATTTTTCTTATCGGTTTGACCTCTGAGAATTTTTTGCGTCATCGATTGTGCCAAGAGGCTTTTCTGCGAAGGACGCTATTGGATAACGGCTATCCAGAGAAATTTATTGATGTGCCTAGCAGACGAAATACATCGGTTGATCTCGCCTGCGAAGTACCGAAGAAGAACGTCTTCCTCAGACTCGCCTTTAAAGCTGATCATATAAGGAAAGCGTGCGTCAAAATCTCAATGTGGCACTGTGTCGAACGTTTCCTGCCGCACTGCTTCGATTGATACCGTATACCCAAGGACATCGTTTAGACAATCGAAAACGGAACCAGCCGTACAATTTTGCTTCACATATCGTCTACCAGTTCACCTGCAGTTGCGGTGACACTTACATCGGCAGAACGCATCAGCCCTTGGCACAACGGATGTCTAAACACATTCCCAAGTGGTTGGTGCAATCGATGACGCAAAAAGGTCTTAGAGGTCAAACCGATAAGGGAAATCCAAGGTCGCAAAACATCTCAGGACATCTGGACACATCGTTGACCCACAAATGTCGTTCAAGCTGATTACGTAACCCACGATTTTGGCGTTTAACGAGGCGATGCTAATCAAGTTACGTAACCCAATATTATGCGCACAAAAGTTTCTTACTCAATCAGTTAGACTACCATGGACCTGATTTTCCACTCCATTTTCTCCCCCGCCTCCCAAACTATTCTCCGTTTTATCACTGTAGTTATCAAAACTTGCTTGTATAAATACCAGATTGTTTTACGTTGTAGCGACTAAAGAGATTAGAAGAAATGTTAACATCTCGCAACATTTGTCTTATTTCGGTTCTAACGAAGAGGATAAAGGGGACCAATGCTTCAAGTTTCTAAAAATACATTCCTTTCTCATACATGATGATGACCTTAGCTTGACCTCACTTCACTCATTACCTTTCTGCAATACACTACACGCTTGCTTCGTTTGTAAAGCTGGTCGGAAGTTATATAAAAATGGCAGAAATTCATTGATAACCTATGTTTTTCTTAGTATCCCATGTGCCGTGCTCGGCTTGTTAATACTAGTGCCATTCATGTAGTCTGGATCTTTACCAACTTGAAAATTAGATCGCTTTTGGTAATTTCCGTCAGCACCTGCTTTAGGTTTGACTCGAACGGTTTTTTCCCAGGGTATTTCGCGTATTGCTGCTTTCAATTCAAGGAAAGGATTGTCAATTAAAATTGGACAAGAAGCGCTGTGTTGCAGCCAAACGATATCGATTTGGGAACTTTTCCGTTTGCAAATAATCTAAAGACAGTAGTGATTCCATTCGGAAACCTATATGAGCTATTAGAAAAAGGAGATATATTTGAAAAACTATCGCTTTTCCTAATATATCTTGGGAGTCTGAGTTGATAAGAGCCTGTCTAATCAAGAAATATCCATGGGGGGGGGAGGGCTTGATCACCTCAGCTCCCGAGCTGCAAACTAATCCTCTTCTCACGTTTCCGAAAGAACTATGGTTAGACTTTATATATCAAAAACACTCTACTGGGTGACATCAGTGTGACAACCCAAGGTCACCAACAACACGGTGATTGACCAGATATGTACGGTGAGACAAAACAGTCATTGAAAAAAAACTACAGCGATAGTTGTATTATGACAAACCAGTCTATCCACAAACGCTACCTAATG